CGGTGTGTGTGTGGGTGGGTGAGTTTGGTATAAGCGGTGTGTGGGTGGGTGTAAGTGGTAAACCATTAAATGTTTTAATGATACGATGTTATTCACCAATGACAAAGCAAAAAGCAATTATCATGAAGTAGTTTCTTTGTCGACGCTGATTCCAAAATCGTGTCTGTAGAAAATGCAATGAGTATTCAATGTACGCATTGTGGAGATGTAAAAAAAATGCACACGTATTCAGAAGCAAAAGCATGCTTTCACATGCATATCAGAAACATAATGAAAGACAGAGAAGCTTAGAGACGATGAGAGCACCTAGTGCGGACACGCAGCCTTGGAGGTTGATGGTGATTAAGGTTAGCAAACAATCCAAGAGACATCTAGCGTGGACGATGTGCCCTAATTACGGCATCACGCGTAGAAAATTTGTTATGTGGGTACTCAAGATGTCCAATTAGTCACGATCTTAGCAACCTGCCAATTAGCCCCAGGCAGCCTGAGATTGCGTAACTCGGACTACAACTAGCCCAGTTTCTGACTTAATATCTATGTGAAGAGAGAGAAATGAGGATTCGAGACAAATAAACGAACATCTTTCTACATGACGAGTAAGGGTAATAATGTTTGATACATGTATATAGTATATGTAAGCCTTTCTCTCTTTCTGTGTGTGTGTGTGTGTGTGTGTGTGTGTGTGTGTGTGTGTGTGTGTGTGTGTGTGTGTGTGTGTGTGTGTGTGTGTGTCTGTCTCTGTCTGTGTCTCTGTTTGTCTGTCTCTTTGTGCATGTGTCTCTGTCTGTCTCTCCCTCTGTCTGTCTCTCTTTCTCTGTGTGTCTGTCTTTCTGTCTCTTTCTCTGTCTCTCTCTGTCTCTGTCTGTCTCTCTGTCTGTCTGTCTCTCTGTCTCTCTTTCTCTGTGTGTGTCTGTCTCTGTCTCTGTGTGTGTCTGTCTCTGTCTCTTTATCTTTATCTCTATCTGTCTGTCTCTTTCTCTCTCTGTCTGTCTCTGTGCCTGTCTGTTTATGTCTGTCTGTCTGTCTCTCTCTCTCTAGTCTCTTTCTCTCTCTCTGTCTGTCTCTGTCTGTCTCTCTCTGTCTCTCTCTCTCTCTCATCTCCCCGCACGGAAGAGACTATGAGAGCGTACTGAAGCTGGCATCCAGGCTATCCCCTTTACCCTTCGCCCTGATGTTCATGAAACACAAGGAGTGTCACGTCTACTTCTCCTTTCTTGCCCACTCACGCCAGTCATGGGATGGGTTGTCTTGAGATCGAGGAATAAAACATTCTCTGAAGAACCACGGATAAAGAACAGAAAAACACCGCCTTTGAAGGGAATAAACCTCCGCCGGCGTCCGTTTATCCAGTGCACCCATGCG